AAACAAAAACCAACCAACCAGGCATCCTCTCATTTCTCTGCTCTCTGCTCATTCTTGGCCCCGTCTCTCCTGGAACAAGTATTTGTAGGGCCAACCAGTGAGGCAGATGCCCAGTTTTGACTCAGGTCAAAAACRGCTTCCCCAAAACACATTCCTACACATTGGCTCTTCTGCGTGGATTAAGATGCCTTAGTGCCTCCATTCAGCATAAACCTGTCTGTATAACAAACACCTTTATATTTAACTCAAATATAAAATATGGAAGTAAAATTAAAATTTTCCTTCCGTTATTACAGTATTAGACTCTCTTAACCTAAACAYTTGCTTTCTTTAGAAAGGAAAGCACATAATTCGTCAAAAAAAAGGCTAAGATGGCTTTTAAACATGGCACTTCAAACTCTATAAAAAACAAAAAGTGAGGACGTTTGGAGGAGCTGACTTGGTAAAACATACACAAAAAATTAAAAATACACTTTTGTGGGTCTGACACCGCATTAAAAGATTATCAAGCATGAGACAAAACAGCACACATCAGACAGATTTGGAGATTTTCTATTTATATTTATATTGGGCACTGTGAATTGGGTTAGATATGTCAGCTCTCTCAAATCATATTTAAAAAGCAGCAGCAGAGCGTTACTTCTGAAACAGCACATCATGCACCACTTTTCATTAAGGAAAAGAAGTAAACATTTGCCATGAAATTTGTTRGGAGAAAGGAAATTTGTTAGGAGAAAGGAAATTTGCTGCCCTAGTTCCCAAGAAATACAGGAACAATTTTACCTTTTCTAAATAACTGTGACCACAGAAAAGCAGTGTTCCTGTTTTGAAGGTATGAAAAAAGAACTAGGAGACAGATTCAAAACACCACGACAATTTTCAAATTAAAACTTCAATTRAGTTTTCACACTTCTCTACAATCAATCCAGATTGTTTCCTGCTTGTAAAATGCTATGAGCAAYATTTACATAGTAAAAACAGCTAAAGTAAAGTAACAGCATAAAATTAGCCAGAGCAGAGAGAGGCATTATTGTACCAYACTGCTTACCTCCCTTCAAGACACTAAAAATAAGTTCAGACATKTTACTGCCCAAAGCTATTTCAATCTTTGCAATTTTTAAACCAAGCATGGCAGCACTTAAGAAATTTCCAATCCTTTGCACGCATCAAAGGCTCCCTTCCTGCTCTAATTTTTCTGAGTCAGTTAACCACCACTAACTATGGGTGGAGCCACATTTGAACACGCTAGCACTGGAAAGTTTAGAGAAGCAATGAAAATGCTGGCAATGGTATTTACATACTTGCCAACACTCACTTTTTCCATCTSTAGCCTGATGACTGCCTTGTGCAGTTAGTTTTCTAGAAGTTTATAAAGTTGCTTCTATCACCTGCAGTAAACTGTTCGGTACTGGTCTACTGCAACCCACAAAAGCCTAATGCAAATGCTAGTATTAGATTTCAACTTGAAATTATTTATTCTGTTTCATTCCATAGCACTCACAGATTTATAGGGAATGAGACCAGAGATTGTCTGACTTATGGGAAACAGCTGCTGTTTCCCAATACATCAAGAAAACTATTTCATTTTGAAAGAAAGAAATGAAAACTATTGCTTCATTTTGCCTACGTTAAGAGACTCAGGTGGGCCCTTGCTGTGACATGTCATGGACTTGGATTTATGCAAAGATTTTGTATTGCCAAAGAAGAAACTCCTCCAGGTATAAAACCACCAAAGATTTACCAAAGGCAAAGCTGAAGGTGAACAAATGGGAATGCCTGCCTGAAGCCGTATCAGGCATTAACCAGGGAGATGCCCCCTCCCCTGGCACTGGTTTGCACCAGTGATGAGAAAGTGGGCACCAGTGCAGCTGCAGCTGCACCTCTTCACACCATCTGCTTGGTCTGGCAGCTACAGCCTCCAGCATTTCTGCACTGAAATTCACACTTGCTGCACTGCACACGCAGACAATGAACACAGGGAATGACAGACACCAAAGAAAATCAACTGCAAATTATACAAGGCTTTACAGGTAGATACCTCCATAAAACTGTCCTGGTTTCATGTGTGAACAGACTGAACTCTGAGCTGAGGGTCTCCGGGTTTGTTGTGTTTCCAGTATATTTTCTTTTAGGAAAGCATAGCCATGAATAGTAATCACTGTGACTAAAGCAACCCAGAATTGAAATCTCAATAAAATAGATTTGGAATACGCCCATGGATCACCCACCAGGCAGCCTGTTTGCTGYTTTAAACTACTGTAAGGACAGGAATTGATTTCCCTTGCAGAGCACAGACATCTGTCTCACCCCTTCACGAGTGCCTTTTCTGCTGAGGAGCAGCCTGACCCCACTGCTTTGTCCYTGGCCATGACAGGGTGACTGGAACTACCATGATCTTCAAGGTCCCTTCCAACCCAAATCACTCCTTGTTTTCCACTTCAAGAAATCAGTCACTGACTTACTTCATAAAAGAAGAAAATTAACTGGGGAAAAGTAATCTGCTTTGTCTCTTTCAGTACCTTTCTGAGATATTTCAGGTTTGGGTCCATTGTTGAAACACCTGTGTAAACATCCAACTAACACCCTGCACAATACATTCCATTTACAGCTCCTGACCTCTTCCAGAAACCACAGCTTTTAGAGTAAAACACATTTGAGAGTGTGCACAGCTGATGAAAACTGCTGAAAACTGTYTTCTGTTCAAAGCTAGGAAGCAAATTCACTACTGTCAGTTCATACAGCAGGCCCTTCATCTGTCTTTCCAAGGGGGATGGCCCAAACAGCAGAGAGGAATAAACAAACCACTCCAGCCAGTGTTCTCTATGCTTTGCATCTCTGTGCTTTATAAGCATTGGGGACGGCACTCAGCAGCATCCTGATGACAGTGCATGATCCAGAGCAGCAAAAACAAAAGCAGGCAGAGCAAAATGTGGAAAAACTCAACATACTAGCTCCGGATTTGGGAGGGGATCAAACCCACCTATGCAGGCTGCCACTGAAAGACACTGGCATGCAGCACACCTCACGCATTTAAAGTTACATTTTCACCAAAGATTATCATTTTCTACTATAAATGGTATTTTCAGCATAATATAGGCAGCTAAAGGACAAGTATTACCTGAGCATGAACTGGAAAAAAAACAGAACTGGCATTGTATTCGTGTAAGTAAAACTTGTATGCAAGGACAATACTTCCATTAAAAAAAAAATAAAAAGTCAAAACCTCAAACACGCTACAGTACTAACACCTGGGAAGTAACTTTTCACATTAAGACACATTTAAAACCAGCCTTCAACATGAAAAAGGGTAGACAGCCTACAAAAACATTAAAAAAAMCAAACAAAATTCTAGATTTGAAAGAAAATATTTGGAAATGACATCTCATTATTCATATTTGATCTTCCACTGTCTTGCTTCCATAGTTCTAAGAGTTTGTATTATCCATTTATTCAGCATCWTTGCATAAAGGAAGGCTTAAAATATAATCCCAAACTAGTTTTAAAATAAATTTTAAAATTTAAACAGGATTTTARAAAGTAATTACATAATTTTGTCTGACCTAAGTCAGACACAAAATACTACATCAATGCAATTCCTACTCAAACATCTCAATGTTTTGAAGGTTTGTTGGCGGATATTTTCCCTTACAGATTTAAATGAAAGAACACTTCTAAACTAATTTTTTGTGTAGGAAATACTCATTTAGGAAACAAAACCTATGTTTCTCCAGAGCTCTTGGCCTATAATCTCCAAAATTAGAACACCAGGAACAGCATTTAGAAAAATGTTATTCAGTCTTAAGCATCATAACCACAGGATGTTTAAAGAGTCTAAAACTAAGCCAATG